CTCTCTGCTTGCCCAACATAAATTTCCATTATTTCATTTCGCCTCGTTTCTCCAACAACAACAACAACAACAACAATTGCTACTCACTTAGATTGCCTTTGCTTTTTGGCGAGTGGCCGCCTCGTTGACGGCGACAGCGACGGCGACGTCGTCTTCGACTTCGTTGATTTCTGCTGCTTTATTTTCGGCGTTCAGCGATTTTCGTGGTATTTACATCAACGCACGCACACACACACACGGGCACACGGGCACACACGCACAATACTTTAAGCTGTCTTTCACATTGCACATTCGGCTCTCCTAAAGGCGACTTTTTTTTTTTGTTTTTTGTTTTACACTTGACACCGCATTATTTTTTAATGGAATTTTACATTTAATTTGTTTTCATTTTTTTCGATTCAACTAGCTGCTGCTATTGTTGTTGCGCGGGTGTGTGTGTATGTATATGTTATATTTTGGTTGTATCCTGCGAATGGATGTCTCTGTGGCGGCGTCGTTTTATTTGCCGTTCCTGTGGAGCGTCACGTTTTCACACTCTAATTGACGGGAGACTACTGCGCGTATCGAAGCCGTGGCTGATTGGAACGAAGCGAAATTCTGCCAGCGCAAAGTGACTAACTGAGGTGTTCGGAGAGCAAGAAGCGCGCTAACAACAACACCAACAGTAGCCAATGAAATATCTTAGCCGGAGAGAGACTTGTTGTTGTTGGTCTTAGAGTGCCCAAAACCGTTTCGTAGTATCCGCTAGCTGATTATCCGAGCACGTAAAGAGGCGCCAAATATGAACACGACAGGGTGGCTTAGGGTTGTCGGCATAATTGAAAATAAATGGAAATTAGTAATGAGTGAAAGTTAAAATGAACTATAATTACTATACTTAAGCTTACACTTATTATTTGTTTAATACACTTAGTTATGCTTTTCTCCTATTATTTTCTTATTATCTTATTTTTAGTTCGCTAGCAACCGGCTGCACAGTATAATAATCTTTTAGCTGCCCTGGCAGCTCTGTTTGCAGTCTGTTGATACCTCTTGCCTTCTACCCCGTCCAGCAGTCAAGTGCAGCCTTCTATCCAGAGCGCACACTTGAAGAGAGCGCATTCGCTTTGACGCATGCGTGAAACGTTATGGAATTGAAACACGCCAAACATTCCGGGCTCAAGTTACAACAACAACAACAACAGAACAGTAGGCTGTCAGCGGCAGTGTAACTGAGGAGCTCTGTTAAACAACAGTTTGTTGTTTTTGCTATTGCCTGCAAGTTAACATCACAATAAACACCTACCGAAGGCAACCGACACTTGAAGAGGGACACAACAGCACACACACACACATACATACGCCTAAAGCCCATAATGAACACAAAAAAAAACAAGGATGAGGCGTGCTGTGAAGGGCAATAGGCGGCAGCGACAGCTGATCAGGTTGCAAGGGTTGTAGTTGTTGTGGTTGTTGTTGTTGCTGTTGTTGTTGTTGTTGTTGTAATTGGGGTGCGGATGACCGAAAGTGACAGAAGAATTGAAAACAAAACACAAGTGTGGGCGATGTGGTGGTGTGGGGGAGGTAACAGTCAGCTCCTGTGGGCAGTGTAACTGAGACTTGACCATGTGCATAAGCTGTTATTGTTGCAGTTGTTGCTGTTGTTGTTGCTGCACTGACAGTCAACTTTGCTAATGACCGGGCCCCATTCATGGCCCTCGACAATGCGCTGTTAAGTCCTTTGCCTTTGCCAGCGGCTTTTGCCTGGCCAAAGGGGCACACCCCTGACATGCCAGTGTATAGCTGTGTGTGTGTGTGTGTGCTTTGCGTCTTTTGTGCAAGGCTTAGTTGGGTGCAACAACAACAACTTCCACCCACTCGTCAGTTGCAGCAAATGAGGCATTAATATCCCAGGCACCAGTCGCTGTCCGCGTCCCCGTCCCCGTCTCCGCCTCCTGCTCCTGCTCCTTCTCCGCCTGCTTGCAGCTCCTGGCTGGCTTCCATGTTCTTTTTTTTTTTCTTACATTTTATTTTGTTCGAGCATGTCAGGGCAAATATTAGTATTCCACTTCAATGCGAGCATTTTGTAATGGAAAGTGTTGTCGTCGTCGTCGTCGTCGTCGTCGTCGTCGTGCTCCTCCTGCGTCCTGCGTGGCATCCATCAAGCAGCCAGCCAGGCGCAACTAATGTGTCACATAACAAATGGCGTCTGTTGCGCGCCGCCACCTGACAAGACCCTTAACCCCACTCCAGCCCACACACACACACACACACACACACACAGGCATCTTCTCACGCAGTTCAATAACAAAAGTATTAACTGCCTTGTCTTGCCACTCATCATCAGGCAATAAAGCCGCACTTTATTCAGTTATAAAGCAGTTATTAGAAAGCGGAAACAACAGGCAAAGCAGCTGCAGGAGGAGAAGGAGCAGCAGGAGGAGGAGAAGCAGGAGCAGCAGCAGGCGGAAGTAGAGCAGCAGCAGGAGCACCGGCAAGAGTTAGCATTAATTTAACGCAGCATCAGCAACGCGTTAATGTAGAACACCAGCGAGAGATCCTTGATGTGCTGCTCCTTGGACTCATTTGCGTGCCAGCTGTCGATTTCCATCACATTCCGCCAGTTGAGGAACTCATTATATCCCGACAGTCCACAGATGGTAGCTGCCATACATCATAATATTTAGATAACGGAAAATTATGGTTAGCTTGGCATACCTTGCTCCAGATACAGATCCTGGTACTTGCCCAGACCCAAGGCCAGGCTGCGTATCGCATTCTGTTCGCTGAGTATCTCGTCGCAGTGCATCTTAATCAGCTCCTCGTACAGCTGCGTGGGACTCAAACGGGGCGCACATCTGTGATGCTGCAGCATGTAGAGCAGCAGGACCCTGCAGAGATGGGAATTTCATTTAGATATTATTCAGTCTCAATATTCATTCAGTCTCAATTTAACAAAACAAATACAGTTAAAACTCTAATAATAGAGAGATGCTTATGGTGAGCATCACATGTGATCTTTTCCGGATCGGAACAGGCTTTTTTGGATTTTATTTTAGTACTTGAGCTGGTTTTCAGCGAATACTTGTCATATATTTACCACTTGCACCTCTTTAAACCCGGTTTAAGGCCAGGCTAAAACCGCTTTTAAGCACATGAAAGTGCTTTTATTTAAAAAATGCTTCAGAAAGTTTGCTTAAACTTTAGAATTGAAGCTTTTAAACTATTCGAAATCAGCTTCAATGAATATTATTCACATATATAAAACCAAAACTGTCTAAAACCCCTCGAACCAGGGTTAAACGTATTTATAAAATTCTAGAATCTGGGCTGTAAAGGTGTGTTAATAAACGTATTTAAACCAGCTTTAAATGCAAATTTATTTATTATATTATGTATATCATATTATACTTGAGCAGAGCGTATTTGGGTACTTACTGATGGGTGCGCTGATAGCCATAGGCAGGTGCCTCGTTGGTCAGTATGTCCAGACAGTCCAGGCTTAGCTTGCAATCTCTGGCATCCAGGGTAACTATGTCGCGCATGCAGAGATCCGATTGCGTGGCATTTGGCGCCCCTTTCTCAACCAGACTCTCATAGTTCAGGGCCAGTTGCTCGTACTCGGCATTGGCATTGAGTGCGCCGTATCTATAAGAAAGATGATCCTAAGTAGGCATTTATCAGGGTTAAACGGACGTACTTCAAGCTGGGCGGCAGGAGCAGCACATTGCGCTGAAAGGCACTCCGGAGAACTGCAAAAGGGAGCATATGGTAGGAAATGGAGTTTGGGTAGAGGACAAATCTTACTGAGCTGCTGCAGCTCGCTTATTTCCGCCTGGCTCTCACAGCTCAGCAGCTGTTCCATGCGGTGCAGCAGATGATAGTAAAGTTGTCTCTCGTAGCGTGTGGGCGTGGCATAGCGCAATTTCTCTGTGCATGATGTGGCATAAATCGAGATTAATTATTATTTATGGCACATAAAGTATCTATCTATTTATCACACAGCTCATTAGGCTCACGTTTTATCAGGAATTCGGCTAGCAGCAATGCGAACTTGGCGCTCGCGTTCAGTTCCAAGCCGCAGGATAATTCATTCAGCAAACCGTAGATGCGTTGCGGCAATTGCTGCACGGATCTGTCTGTCGATTCGGCCACTTGCAACTGGTTCAGAGCGCCACAAATTGCGGCAAGTGTTACAATTTTCAAACAGTTCAACATGTTGCATGGAGCGCCAGTTTGGTTCTATGCCTGGCCCGGCTGCTGGCCGCAACGAAATCACATCGCCTTCGTGTTCTTTGATTTCACTCTTTTATGAAGATTAATTGGATGACATTTGTTCTGTGTGCGGGGCGCGTGTGGGCGGTTCGCGCGTGTTGGGGATATCGAGTGCGTTAGAGGGCGGTCTCGCTGGTGCGCAATATTAAGTTACGCATATTAATCACAATTTAAAACTGAATACATTATATTGATTAAGGAAGGGTTTTGCAAACGAAAATAAAACTTGGCTGAGATAAGCATATTGTTTGTTCAACAATACATCATTCACTACGTAGTGCAGAAATTGATGATATACATCATGCACACTTCTTTTTGCCCTAAAAGCTTAGATTTTCCAATAAATCTTCTATCAGCGCCTAGCTGGCATTTCGAATTGTGCGCCAAAACTATTGCCTTTGTCTTATCGTAAATCGTTAAGTGCAACAACATTTTATCGATAACTTGGTTCCATCACCACACTGTTAATGGCTAGTACGCAGCTCAGCTGTGCACTAACATACTAGCTATATGCAATTGCTTCTACTTTGTCTAACTGCCTAGTTGTATATGTTAACAAAACTTTTATTTATGCAGCATGCTTGAATATTTATATGAAAAAAATGAATAATAATTCAACTTTTAGTCGTTAAAATACTGTGTAATGCGCCCAAGCCGTTAACAGATTTTGCTTCTGTCTTGGCAAGCTGTTCTTGTGACCAGCGTACCAGCCAAAAGTTAACAGGCTCGTATATGTGTTAACATTGCGTTAACAGGCGAATGTTTTTTACATCAGACTGTCTTTTGTCTTTTCTTTGTGAAAATTAGTAGTACTTTAGTTTAATTCGAAATACTAATTAAATACACTAATGTCGGACAACCAGGACAAAGAAGAAACATTGGCCAGTTTCCAGGTAAGAAACGCAGCATCGATATCCCGCTAGACGCTGCAAACTTCTGTTATTATTTGTGGCCCAAACGAGTGCTGAGTGCGCACATTTTCAATGCGTATGTTGTGTGTATGTGTGTGTGTGTGTGTATGAGCTTGCAAGTGCGAAAGTGTGTGTGGGTGTGCGAGTATGGGGGTGTGTGTGCGTGTGTGTGTGGGTGTCTGCGTCTTGGAATTGCAATCATTTTGAATGCAAACAAAACTCAATTGATATTCAATGTCACAGATGATAACTGGAATAGAGGATGTTGGCGAAGCCTTCTCCCACCTGGAGGCATCCAATTGGGATCTTGTGGTAAGTGCGTCATTCCCTATAATACAAATGCGTATATTTTATTGCGTTCTTCTTATTGTTGTTGTTGTTTTTATTGTTGTTGTCTGTTGCATGCAGGAGGCACTCAGCCGTGTTATGCCACACGACGATGAGCCGTTGGCCAATCCCATACATACACCAGAGCCGCCAGCACCGGATCCAGTGGCAGTCGCATCGGCGTCATCAAATCCAAATTCCAATGGCTTTAGGCCTTTCAACTTTGACGAGCTGCCAGGTCCCTCGCAGGGTGCACGCATGTTTCCAAGTAAGTTCGCTTCGCTTCTGGCTCCCAAATGGATCTATATATCCCTCTATCTACTGTAGCCTCACAATTGCTGGCCCAGCTGACGTCGAGCATCAACTTGGATCCCTCCAGGCAGAATAATAACCAAAACCTCTTAACATTCAACATACACTTTAACCAACAGCTCTATCAAATTCGCATGCAGCCAAATGCAACTATAGGTGAGTTCATTCGACTACACCGAGCATATATACTGATTCTCTACTTCTCCTTCCCCATGGCAGAACAATTGAAACGCAAGATCTTTGATGTGACAAATGTGCCGCAATGCCGCCAGGCCCTACGCGGCTGGCCGCCGTCCAAAGCCAGCGATGCACAAATACCAGAGACGCAGCTGTGCACTTTAGATTTGGCGCCCGAAAGCGAGCTGATACTCGTTGATCTAACCGATGATGGTTTCATGGATACCGAACAGTAAGCCCAGTCCCAGCTGCAGTTATCCCAGCACACAATTAAACTATTTATTTCACAATAACAGGGATGAGGTAACACAGCGTTTGGACAAGGTATTTAAAATCCATATTGTGGAGGAGGGCGGACCAGAGGCACGCAGGCTTACACTCAATTTTCCCGGGCGCACAACCATCCAAGAACTGAAAACGAATGTTTACTACATTACCAGTATACCAGTTAGGCATCAGGAATGGTCCGGCTGGCCCAGCGGTTGTGATAACGATACCAATTTGGCGGTTAGTCTTTCGTCTCGATGTACCCTGCAAAGACTTATTTTTAAATTATTGATTTTATTTCTACCCCCCCGCAGCAATCGGGCATCGAGCAAACGCACGATTTTGTGATTCGCAACATTGCGGATAGAACATCAAACAATTCCAATTTGCTGGCCAACACGTTAGTGCATATAATTATAGTACTATTTTTAATCGTATGTTAATCTTGCCATTGTTTCCCTGTTCAGTGAAGTCGTGACCCTCGACAGCGAGAGCTCAGCGGATGAGTTTGAGGATGCCACAGATTTTAATAACTCGGAGTACATATTCTCTGATTCGCCGCCCGTACAGCCGCTTAATAGGCATTTGAGTAAGCTCCAATCTAAACCAATCGCAGCTATCCGAGCTAATCTCTCGCTCTCCATTTTACAGTACCCAATAACACGAACGACGAGACGAGTGGCTCCACACAATTTGTGGATAACTATATACAACGTTTTGGTGAGCCACATCCGGACTTTTATGTGGGCAGCTTAGAGAGCGCCTTGCGGCTGGCCTGTCACAAGCCTGCCAAGGAGGTAGGCAAAACGAAAGCATCTTCTCGAATTCTATTCAATTTGATTTTGTATTTTAGCGCAAATTGTTGGCCATCTATTTGCACCATGGCGAGAGCATACTCACAAATGTATTCTGTGATCATCTCATGAAGGACGAGGCCATCATACAGACATTCAGAGAGAACTTCGTGCTCTATGGCTGGGACATGACGTACGAGAGCAACAAAGACATGTAGGCACACTTAGTTAAAGCATAAGCTTTAAGCACATCATACTTTACGAAAATGATTCATTGTTCTGCAGGTTCCTCTCCTCGCTGACGGCCTGCATCAACAGCAACGCCTCGTTAACGGCCAGAAATATAAAACTTGACAAGCTACCCGCCATTATGCTAGTTGGCAAAAGCCGTCTCATGGGCCGCCAAACATGCGAGGTCTTATCTGTGATTCATGGTAAGTTGGCCGGACTCCAAATATAAATTGTGTCTTTTTACAGATATATCAATGCCTATATAATTAACTGCTTGCAGGCAACATTGGTCTGGTTGATCTGCAGTCGCGTCTGATTGAGACAACGGTGATGTATGAGGAGCAGCTGCAGGGTGAGATACGTGAGGAGAACGAGCGCGCTGCGCGCGATCAGGTCAAAGCTGAGCAGGACATGGCCTACGAGGAGACCCTACAGGCGGACATGGCCAAAGAGGCAGCGAAACGTCAAAAGGAGGCCGCCCAGGCAGCCGAACGTAAACGCATTGAATCCGAGCGGGCCGAAGAAGATGCTAGACGCGAATCCATCAGATTAGTGGTAACTTATATAACAGATATCATATATAGCATATACATGCCAACTGTATAAACCTATTTACAGGCTAGTCAAGCGTTACCTATGGAGCCTGCCGAGCATGAAGCAAACATTTCCAAAATACGCGTACGCAAGCCAACTGGCGATTTTTTGGAGCGTCGATTTTTCACGCGAGACACACTCCAGGTGCGTGCACATGTCCAGTTATATATAAGATTAAATTTGATCCAATTTCTTCGCAGGATTTGTTGAATTTTGTTACCGCGAGCGGTTTTCTTATCGATGAGTACAAGATTATTAGCAGTTGGCCGCGACGCGATCTGACGGCCATCAATGCTGGCCAAACGCTGGAAACGCTCAAACTGTATCCGCAGGAGACGGTCATATTGGAGGAGCGATTTTGATTTTGATTATGATTATGATTATGATACTAATTTCTGATTCTGTTCGTTTTCTCAGTTTTTAAGCGTTTCGTTTACATATTGGGTTTAAGTTCTCTGCATTAATAAGTGAAAAAATTTAGTCTTGTATTTTTTATGTTAATTTTTATATAGTCGAAACAACAACAACAAAAATATCTACAACAAAATTGAGAAGAAAAAAAACGAACTCTAAGCTTAGAATCATCTAGGAGCTGCAAATTAAGAACAAAAAGTTTTTTACCAACATAATATATCAAAACAAAAAACAAAAAACAAAAATAAATCAAAGCAGCTGCAAATATATGTTTCCCCCAATCCCCCTTAGCCCCTGCTCCTCCCCTACCCTCGCACAGAACATCTCTCTCTCTCTGAATAGCGTTAGCGTTAGATAAGCATTGAAGAAACGCATTTAAGTTGGCTTGTTTTACATTATCAATAATAAATTATATAACATGTACTGAAACGTTACACTTTTTTGCGCTTAATTCACACATAACAACATAAAACGGAAACGAGTTACATTAAAAAATTAAAAAAAAAATAATAAGCATCGAAAACAATTGAGCACAAAATTGTTAAAAGTTGCAGCCGTGTAGAGATTGTTAAAGGTTGTCCTAAGCTTAGCTAGCCTACTCGAACAGCTTCTCGATGGGCGCCAGCACCACGAGCAGAATGAGCACCACAACGAACAGGACTAGGACGACGCTATAGATGCCCAGCAGACCCTTGCGCAGGCCGCCATACTGCAAACAGAATCAGAGTCAATATGAATTCTCTATAGGATTAGGTCGGAGTACTCACCGGTGCATCCATTTTACGCTCCATGCTCATGCCGTTGCGCATCGCGTGCTGATGATGATGCGTCATGTCGCCCATCTGGAATGTGTTGATGCGCTGGCTCTGCTGGCGGTCCGAGGCGATGCCCGATATCTGCCAATGATTAACGCACAAATAGATCTACAAATTAACGGACGTAGCCACTAGCTCAACGGGGGCAATGCATGCGATGAGTGAATTAGTATCAAAATGAATGATGGCATTTAAGGACAATCTCTATAAACACAGGCGACAATGCGAGGGACAACACGCTAGACTCTAGATATATATACATCATTTGGGGACATGTGATATAAGGGACAAATCCCAAGCCCACACACATACACACACACACACACACGTAACCCGTGCACTTACGGAAAAGATGAGATGGACGAGCACATGAAAGACCACAAATCCAACCAGTATCCAGTCCATCCACTCGGGCAGCTCTGCCTTGGGCAGCTTCACAGAGAAGAAAATTGCAACAACTGCAAAGGAATTCAATTATAATCAAAGTGAAAAAGTGGTTGCTTCTGAACTAACTGGCTAGGATGTGCGCCAGATTGCCGCCCAGCCAATGGCCCCAGTTGAAGTAGGGACGCTTCTTGTCATTCGGACCGGGACGGAAGAGCGCTCCGATCGGCTGCAGAAAGCAGAGTATGACCGTAATCAAGCCCGTTATGGAATGGGCATGCCATACGGCGCGCTTTAGCTCCACCCAGATGAGTATGTAGGCGACCACGGTTAGCGTCCAGGTGGTGACCATGAGCATGCGATGCCAGGCAAACCACTGATCCTTGCCGCAGGTTTGGCTGCCCACCCATGTCTGTTTGAAGTAGCGCGCAAAGATGATGCCCAGCGATGTGGTGCCTATCCAGGCGGCGATCATGAAGGCGCCGTGCAGGCGCACCAGCAGCTGACTGGAACCGGCCACATCCTGTACGACGGCCAAATTGATGGGATTGCCCGAGGGCAGGCGGCCAATATCGTGATAGCCAACGCTGTTCTCCTTCAGGCTGCTGCCCGAGGCGACGAGCATATGATAGACGCCGTTCTTCAAATCAAAGCTGCGTCCCTGCACCACAGTGATTGGATCGCGCTGCACCTTGCAATAGATGACGCCATCCACCAGCGAAGCGTTCAACAGACGCGCCGAGTTCTGCGGCTGCAAGGGGGGAAAAGTGGGCAATTAACCAGCTCGATTCCTCACGCAACAGCACTTACCACATTGGCCCTGACGGCGCTAAAGGGACTGGCCGAGGTGTAGGAGGAGTAGAGATTCACGCGTCCATTTTCGGGCACACATTCCGTGGTCAGATCCTCGCCCATTTTGGCATCGTCCGACAGACCAAAGGCCACATACGCGGCATTGGTGCCTATTTAGGGATAAATTATATTAACGAGCTCTGTCGGAGATTAGGTATTTGCTTACCCTTGCCTGATTGGAGCTCAAACTCGTAGATGTCGCCGCGCACGGTGACCGCCGAGACGGATGTGCAGGATTTGCTGGCAACGCAGCCATCGGGAAAGCCGAAACAGTTCTTGCTCTGACCGCAGCCATCGTAGAAGCTATCCTCCACGACGGCCACCACACTGGGCGCCACATAGCTGGGCGGCACGTAGGGCGTGCGCGTGCTCGGATAGTTCACATTGAAGTTGGGCGGACTGGCTGTGGGCAGCGGCGCAGCCGCGGACAGATCACGACGCACCACCTGGACGGGATTCGAGGCCACGCCCACCCAGAACTGATTGTACGACTGGGCAACTGTGGCGCTGCAAGGAAGAGAAGACAAAGGATTAGAGAGAATATATGTGGGCAGTTAATGATGCATGGTTCGAGACAGAGTTTCTTTAAGTGGAAGGATTGCTCATCATTCCAGGCGTCATTTATTATGAGCTGGAGAAGCATGACACTTACTTGAAGACCACCTGGCCGAGGAAGTCCACCGGCGACTGCCAGTCAAGGCTGACCTGCGGCTTGGGGCCCGCATTGCTGTGCGTGGCCGAATTGTTGACGGAGTTCTCGCAGTTCATTAGCTTGACGGTGCCGTCGCGCGACGGACTGAACTGGCCGACAATCTGATAGGGCGGATTGCGATTGCGCGCCTGGATCATGAAGCCGCCGAAGCTGAGGCCAGCGGGTGCACCTGTGACATCGACGCGCAGCGTCTGGCCCTGGCCAATGACCGAACTGGACGTCTCAATGCCAAAGGGCGAGACACTGTTCTCGGGCAGCACCGTGCCGCCGGCATGGAACGGCAGCATCGTGTCGCACACCGTTTCCGGTGCACCTTGAGGCAAAGAGCGCACCGAGCCGCAGCTGAGCAGCGCGGCCAACGACAGCAGCGACAGCAATGACATCTTCGAGCACCTGTCGAATAGAGTTGAGACCATCATTAGATCTCCCACGAACCGTGTCCCCGATTCCAGCGACAGTCTCCACGCGACTGTCTTATGTCAGCCCCGCGCCAGACACTTTAATTACCATGCCGAATCATAATTGCACTCGTCGATGCGTGTGCTTATCGTAGCGTGTACGCAGGTCCCCCCCAAAAAAAAACAGAAGATGTATATATATATATATACATATGGTACATAGGTGAACATCATATCATGATGTGATGATAAGGCGGCGCATGCAGATCGCCTTCTACGATAGAGTCCAACTAGAGCCAAGTACACACTCCACATTACATTAAATACATTCCACTTACGATACTCTTTATGAAGGGTATTAAGACTATGTCATGAAGTGTGCCAAGCCGAAGCGGGTAGTCTTCCAATTATCGGGATATAATTGATCGAAACGGAATTAAATTCCTCTATGAGATACTTTTTGTACTTCTTTTGTGTAGCATCATTAATACGAATCTTATCAAACTACTATATTATATATAGCTTGATAGGAAGAATCGGCTATAAAGCTCTGTAGAAAGAATCAGCTGAAAACCAACTCAACAAAAATAAACTTCTCTTTACTGCCTAACATGTCTAAAAAAAACCCCATTAAATCGAACTATCATATCATTTTATTCTAATGCAAGCATTTCTCAGTCATGCAAGAGTATTCAATTGTCGGCCAGTCGCAATTGATCATTAATTCTTCGTATTGTTTTTGTGCCCATGTTATGCATCGTTGCGTATACGTAATATTTTGTATAAGTAGCCGCGATAAGGGGCAAAGTAATTAGCTTACGACGCTATCAATTAAACAATTCATTTATTAGCTAATTATAACTATTATTAATATTTATATTACTTATATTAATAATAATATTATTGCTATTATGATTTGTGGCAAAACGTGAGCTCGTAATTCCTGGCGCCCATGACTCAGAACGTGACTTTTCCCCGTCGTGACTAAGATCTGGTTTATGCGCTTAAAACCATCTTGCAAAGTCTTTAACGGCAATTGGCCATGAATTCGACTTAATTGCCAGCGTTATTGTCACAAACAGATGGCAAAACATACAACAATAAAAAGCTAACTGCACAAATGTTAAATGTATGAGGCACAATTTGTTCAAATTAATAAAACCTAGAGCTGAGCTTAAGATTTATGTTCTTAGTAAATTATTATGGGTTTTTTTTTCAGTTTGTAGTGCAACGAAAACTATTTCATTGGTCATTAAGTTCAGCCAATTATCGTATTTATAAATAACAAAACTAGACTTAAGTGAACAAATATATCCAATTTATAAACGAAGTTTGGATAGTAGAAAAAAAAAACAGATATTAAGCTTAAAGAAGCTAGATGTAGCCATAAAAAAGCTTAAATAGCGGCAGTTTTCTCGAAATGGCGCAGCCAACTTAACACGCACCTCCTTAGTGTTGCCAGATCGCTTCAATTTTCAATATATTGAAATACATTTTAAATGTTATAAAAAAATTAATACAGAAATTTAAGATTTTTAGCCCAAAGCTTCAGTTTCTTGTAGGTTTTTTGTCAATGTTATCAAACCGATAAAAATAACTATCATAATATGCGGCCAGTTCTGCCTGTCGAATTCCATAAGATAGATTAACTTCATGCTAATTATTAATAGCAACAAGCGACAAAATCAAAATAGTTTTATCATTAGCATGTTATCTAATTTGCCAGACAAGATTTTATCAGGCAGTTTATCTAGCTAGATAAATCGGTGTACTGCAAGTGCTGCCACCAGGCAATACTTTACACATATGGCAGCACACAAAGTCAATTTGTGTTCCAGTTTATGTGCCAGTCAGGAAATAATATGCAAATTGCAAACTATTTCATGACCATTCGAATGTACGATGTCAAAAGAGATCGTAAATTGCACAGCATAAACGCGAAAGATAGATAGAGAGGCAAGTCTCCGAGCATATTATGTGAATGGGTTTTGTGGTTTTTACCCAATGATGATTGTATCAGGTTTACAACGCCATGATCGGGCCGCAGAGCATGAGCTAAGCATGCTAATTAAGCGCCTACTCATCGCACCTGGTGACGTACTCGCACATCTGGCAATGAGAGGTAGGCAGGGAGGGTGGTTTTGTGGCGGAGAGGGGGGGCAAACAGCGCACAATCAACGGCTGTATCTGAAGAATGCGAATTGAACTTGAATTTAAAGCAAATCGCATGCGCTTAACCTTGACGCCGTGTGTATAAGGTGTTCGAGTATAATACATATACATATATATATATAATAACAACTTTTCTTAAAAAATGTTACTTTTGTCTTTATTCGACAAATGTTAATTGAAATGCACGAATTAAAGCGCAAATCCGACACACTCATTGTTTAACGCCCATTTAAAGTACCACAAAAAATACAAAAATCCATATACAAAAAAAAATAAAACCCGAATCCAAGTCGAGTTCGAGCTGGGCGCCCCACAATGGGCGTTCACATTGAACCTTGAAAGGTAAAGGCATTTTTATGCTTATGTGTCGTTTAATCGTGCGTCTGATTTATCTAATATATAAATACAAAACCAAAATCCAACCTTAATCGCAAATACATTCACTTTTGAGCTTGTGTTGCGGCCCTTGAAGCTGTGGGTATTTGGGGCCTGGACTTTCAGTTAAGGTCGCAAAGTGAAAACTACACAAATTTCACTTAACATCGAAAATAATTTATAACTATTTGGCATACAATTCTTGGCACAGGTGTGTGTGTGTGTGTGTGTCTTGTGTCTGGGCATTGGCCCCAAAAGAGTCCATGACGGAATTCAGCTTTTTGTTTTAAACGTGAGACCAAACTGATTAACAGTTTGCAACTTGCAACAACAAATAAATAAGTAAAAGTGCAATACAACAGCTTGCCCGACTAGCAGATACCCTGTCGTAACATATATATTCGGGCTGTTGAAACAGAAAATACATCTATGATTCCACCCTGAGACCCATTTCATGCACTTTTTATGCTTCAATGACTTTTGTTAATTGTTTGAAATTTGTCGAATTTTCAGATATTTTTATATATACGCTAACTTTCGTGTATAGCAAATATCAAGATTGAAGTCCGCAATTTAATTAGTTTTAGGATTCTCAAATTAAAATATACTTGATGTATGTAAAGCGCAAGAGAACTTTCAGCCTCTCTATCTATCTCTCTCTCTCTCTCTCTCTCTCTCTCTGATTCTCATTGCCTTTCTATCTCATTCTGCCTCTGTCTCTCTCTCTCTGTCTGTCTTTGTCTTACTATCTTTCTATTTCGTACTCTCTCTCGTCCTCTCTCTGTCTTTCTATCTATCTATCTCTCTGCCTCTCCCTTAAACTCTATTGCCTCCCACTAACATATACCCTTTATAAACGGCTACAGGGTATCCACTCGAAACACAATGGCACATTATGTGAGCTTATTATACACTTGACTCTATGCGTGTCTCGTTATGTGTCGTTATAGGGGCTGCAAGTGGTGTCTATGGCTGATACAAAATGACAGGCCCATGCCCTTGTTAAAGCCAGTTTGCCGCCAATCACAATTTCGTAGTTGTGCACTGACCTGAGTACTCATAAGCTAAATACATATAGATTTACCTGCGTATATATATATACATACATATATATATAGATATAGAGGAGATATAGAGAGATATGCTAGCTTTAGCTTGGAGTTACGTTCGGTTGACAGCTGAGCTCTAATTGGTTGCAAAAACATTTGCAATTCGTTGGCTTTTGTCAAAGTGTCTGTCAACTTTGCGAAAGGAAATGTTTAACATTTTGTTATTTGAGGTTATGTACACGACTTTTAACGGTCTTTTGTTTTTGTTCTAGTTTTTTATAACATTTTGAGTCATATTTATCTTGGTGTGACTCAAAAACATATTGTTTTTTGATCGCAACACGATAAGTTCTCCTCCAAAAAGGAAATGTTGTGGCGCTCCGTTATCATCTGGTCGGGGGGCGCATGTTTGAATTGTTGTCTTTCGCCTGCGGTAGCTCTGGCAACGTGTGTACTTAAGTTATTCTTCAATCAATTTGTTTGTACGCCCAAATGCCCATCTAAATACGCCCCAATGTGTGGGTTTCTGACCCCTATTCAGGGCGGGTTTGGCGGTAAATGTTGGTCATTGACGCAATCTTGGCTTGGACATCGCGTGCCACAACTAACAATTGGGTTAAAGCTAAAAATGTATGTGCTTTTTTTATATAGTGCATAGCTGGGCCGAGGGTCGATTTTGGCCATGGACAAACCTAATGAAGGGAACTAAGCAGGACATAAATGATTTATCGCCTATATATACGGACAAATCATTGTTTATAATTATGACCCGATAACATAAGGGCCAACAACTATTTACTTTAATCATTTTATTAGCACAACATCAAATTCCAAATGTGATGTGGGCTGTGTTGGTCGAAAAGGCGTGAAATAGAAATCTAATAAACGATAAGGTTTACTAATTTTAGATTACGCCTAAGTTGAAGGCAAAGTCTCCCTTGGAATAAATCATTACATGATTGAAAACGAAGCTAACTTTAAAGTACCGAAGAGTGTATGCCCTTTAAATGTGCCGTATATTATAATAATAATGATATATTCTTGCTAATTAGTTGGTTTCTATAAGATATATCTAGAGTTCCGGGCCTAAATTGGAGGCAAACTCTTCTTGGGGTATGCATTACACCGAAGATTATATGGCCTTCAAATATGCCATATATTTCTACACTTATTGGTCAGACAATAATAATATTTATATTTTATTTCAATATTAGAAACGTAATACGTCAGTTTCTATAAGATGTCGATAGAGTTTCAAGCCGAACCTTTTCATAAGCTAAGAGACTTTTTTGAATTGTTCCACACTACATAAAAATATATGTGATTTGGTTTTATGGGCTAGTTCTTTGCACTTGTTACTCTTTGTAAAAGGCCTCAAACTGAAAGTGGATGGATAAAAATATACATAGCTGCGCCGTGCGTGTGGCTGTGGGCCAAACTGGGCTGTTAACCTAACAGGTGCGCAATCTTGTATATGAAAACTATGTATGTCAGCACGTGCCTGCAAAAACTGGAAATATCGCTTATAATTATTGGAAGTCTTTGGAATTGCAGCAAGATGACGTCACATTCGCATTGCAAGCAGAACGCAAATTGTTTAATTAAACAATTAGAGAGAGCAGAGCCTTAACATTTATAAACTGTGTGTGTGTGTGTGTGTATTAATTTGATTTGTTAAGCACACGGGCAACTTGTAAGGTTTGTAAATAGAAAGCGACTTTGATTTATCAGCAATTTAGGAATTGTGTAAAGTAACAACAACAACAATTAACGCAGCGACAACAGCAAGTGTTGTGGAGTGCGTTGTTTATGTGTTGAGGAGTGTGCCAATTGCTAATGGAAAGCGTCACGTTCGCATCCACTCCCCGCTTCCCATTGCAGATAAACACGTTTGCCTTCTGCCAGCGCACACGCCCTCTCAATGGCATTTTTATTGCGTTGTCTAGCTGTTTCTCTTATGCTTTTTGTGCACTGCAGTTCATTTTTATTGTTACGCCTTGTTTACATCATCGGCTAACAAAACTAAGAAACAGCGCATGCGCGACACTTGACATCACTTTACAGAAGCAGCCACTCAGCGTCAGTTTTTACTTTGATATTGTTCGCATACGTGAATACGTGTAACATAGATACATAAAAAAGTTGTTGCATTAATTATTGTTGCCATTGTATTAGAATGCATTGCGTTTGGGTTTTGCCATTGAAAAGAGCTGAGAAAAATATATGCGACAACTGCCGGCGCTAGAGCTTTGTTGTTGCGTTGTTGAACGCTCATGCACTCGCACGCACACACTCACACACACACACACACACATACACACACACAGCATCATTGTCTGGCATAACTGGAAACCGGTTTCCAGTACAGCTTTACCGTAGTCACAATAACAACAACAACAGCAACAACCTGCGACATAGTAGTAGAAACATAAAAACAACACAGCTTTGTTGTTGCCATCATATATATATATATATACATATACATTCTCATTGTTGTTGTTTGTCTTTTTCGCGCAAGTCTCACACTCTACGGCAACTGCGACTTTGGAATTTTAGTTTATTTTTTTTAACAAACTGAATCGCAGGTTTGTCTTCTAAACTTGAAACAAGTTATCGGTTTATAGCACAAATACCACAATTATTGCTTTGCTTTGGGTGCGGCGTAAAGCTATTTTTTTTCAAGTTTAATTTCACTTTCAAATGCATTGCAGCACACATATTAGCATATTGCATGTATGCTCTGAAACCAAAACACAAACCTATTGGCCAGTAACCTTTTTACTTGACTTTTGTTATATGGAACACGCGGCAGGCATCAATTTTTGCTGCAAAACTTGTTTTGCAAATAATGAACACTAACCTATGTATTGTTTATGTTAAAACGTTTCAATTTTTAAATAAAATCGACTGCTGTTTATAACTTTTGTATTTGTTTCCGTATACTTCGCGCACAAGACTGCGCGCCTCGAATTCAAATCTGCAACTGACAACTTAATGCTCCAATTGGGCAGGCGCATGCTGTGTGTGACAGAGGTGAAAAATGTTTGTGGTGAATTGCGACTACACCATTCCCGCCTGCTATCGATAAATGTGTGCCAGTGCTTATCGATAAGCGATGACGAGAAACATCTGATGTGTTTTTTTCTGCACCAATAAAATTTTTCAATTAGCGCTGGCTCAAAATAGTAATAGAAAAATGTGCTATAAGTTATTAATTATAGGAGCACTCGTCGCCCTGAGTAGCTGCGAAGTGGTCATCGGTCAAGAGGACGTCGTGGACGAGGTTTCCGGCCACTACACAATCGAGGGCAAAGTGTATGCTCCAGAAGTGGGCCCCGGAGCGAGTCAGGGTCATGCGGTTACCCTGCCAAGCGGCAACAACAAATGGCAGGTAGATCTGTCTATAAGCATTAACAATGGCGAGTACAAGGGATTTGTGCGCGAGGATGGACAATTCATAATCAGCGGAGTGCCCTCCGGTAGCTATGTGCTTGATATCTATCATCCGGACATATTCTACGAGCCCGTGCGCGTAGAAATCAATCCCAAAGGCAAGTTCCGGGCACGCAAAGTAAACTACATGCAGCCGGCACAGGTGGTACAAGTGCCCTACCCACTGAGGATGAAGCCGCTTATGCGATTCAAGTACTTCCAGACCCGCGAGCAATGGAAGGTTTGTACACCAAAAAAGATTACATCTATTCTAGTCTAACTTCTTCATTTATCCTTATAGATAACTGACTTCCTGTTCAGCCCAATGGTGCTAATGATGGCCCTGCCCCTGCTACTTATGCTGGTGTTACCTAAAATGATCAACGATCCGGAGACAAAGAAGGAAATTGAGAACATGCAATTTCCCAAGGTAACAGCCTCTATTTACCTATATACAAGTGATACTTATGTATTCATTTTGCTCCACAGATGACAAACGATATGCCAGAGATCAGTGAAATGCTGACCTCGTTCCTGGCAGGTAAGCAGCCCGAGCCGAAGGAGAAGAAACCAATTGCCGCTAGCAAACAAACAAAAAAACGCAATTAGCAATTGTGCCGTAAATTAATTTGATAAAGCCCTAAGCTAATAGAGAAAACATTCTCAATGTATAGTCAAATGTCAGTAAATTAAATAAACTTTCATAATAATTCACTTTTATTTAAGAAATCCCACTGTCTTGGGCCGCTTAGGCCCCACTCGCCCCTCCTCCGACTTAAGCATCTTGACGAGCAAGCTGTTCAGTTGCTCGCCAATGGAGAGGCCCAGCTGTATGCTGTTTAGCATGGTATCCCTGTGCATGGAGCCGCCACCGGTCATGTGTGTGCCAGATAAATAAGCTGGAAATAATGCTATATCAAGTAGGGATTATCTCTTAATTATTGCTTTCGAATGTACCTTCATTGTCACGCATGGACACGGATACAACCATGCTGACTGTGCTGCACACTTCCTCCTCAGCTGTGGGATCCACAAGGCAATAATCACCAATCTTGCATACGGTCACAAGCAGCGGCACTGCATCGATGCCTATGCGTGTGCAGTCGTAGGGATTGTCAGATATAATTAAATCAGTGACACCTGCGTCCAGCAATGTTGCAGTAACGCGCGGCAGCTTTGTGTTGTAGAGCGCTGCCTTGGCTGCCAGGGAAACAGCATCGTACAGATTGCCACCGCATTCCAGAATCTAAGAGGTAGATTAATTAAGTAGCGAATTACTTTAATCCAGATTGCCATTTACCAATATATCTATGTAAAGTTTCCAACATTGCTGTCCTGGTATGAGGCACAAGGTGCGATAGTCAAAGGCAAATGGGGATTCGTAGGCATTTTGCAGTGAAAGTATCAGCTCCTGTGCCAGATCTGAGCCGCCGCGACCCTCAAATTCTGGAGTGGCATTCGCAGAGCTGTGATAGAAGCTTTAATAGTCAATTGTTAATATTTACCCAAGCTCTATTTACCAATCCACAAAGAATTCCAACTTGCCAAATTGAGGCGTTAATGGATTGGGCACATCGATTTCAGTTTTAACGCCCACCAAAATATCCGTATTCGCTAAACGTAGTCGTGCCGACCCACTAGCATTGCTGACCAGGCCCGTTTCCAGTTCCATTGGCCGGTAATCGCGGCGCGAACGACCATCACAGCGGAAATCCTCCTAAATGCGCATATTACAAACATTTCTGAAGCTAATATATTGAAACACACCTCAACGCCATGCAGAATAAAAGTTTTCTCTGCCTCACTAAGCGCAACGTATGCCATTTTCTTATAATAAACAGGCAAAAATATTTTCAAAGCAGAATCAAAACAAATTTAACATGTGGATGGGCGATAACGATAGCGATATATCGCATTTGAAATATATCGCATTTGCATGCCTGTAATGGCATTTAACAGCACTGTGCCGGTTAGCTGCTTCGCAACACTTGCCAAAAACAAGCCAGTCATTTTGCTTTGCATTTCACTGCACGAATTAAAAATTTAAAAAGAAAAAATCACAAGCAGCATGGGTCCCGACATTGACTTCACCGACACTCCCGTTAGCACTGGCGTAAGTCCTAATAGCACAACTCTATTTATGCAGCATGCCTAATAATAACTACCACACAGACAACTATTATGGCTGTGGAGTTCGATGGCGGCGTTGTGATCGGTGCAGACTCTCGCACCAGCTCGGGCGCATATGTTGCAAATCGAGTGACCGACAAATTGACTCAAATCTCGGAAAATATATACTGCTGCCGCAGCGGCTCTGCAGCTGATACCCAGGCCATAGCCGACATTGTGGCCTACTCATTGAACTACCACAGGAATCAAACCAACAAGGAACCGCTTGTATGTGAGGCGGCATCAGAGTTTCGCAACTATTGCTATAACTACCGTGATTCCCTGTTAGCTGGCATCATTGTTGCCGGCTGGGATGAGGAGCGTGGTGGTCAGGTGTACAGCGTGCCACTTGGTGGCATGTTGACACGTGAGGGTTGCACCATAGGCGGCTCGGGCTCCAGCTACATCTACGGTTTTGTTAAAGAGCATTATCGGCCTGGCATGCCAATGGATGAGTGTATCGACTTTGTCAAGAAAGGTTTGGGCTCCATCTTCATCTTCATTTATTTAACTCTAATTGTTCCATCTGCTTTCCAGCTGTGCAACATGCCATCTACCATGATGGCAGCTCCGGCGGCGTCGTGCGTATCGGAATTATCACCAAGAATGGCATGGAGCGTCGTTTGTTCTACAACACAGTGACTGGGGAGTCTACAATTGAAGGCTCGCAAAGCTTTATAAACTAAATGGAATGGATTCTAAATTCTGATTAGATTACTCTTGTGGAGAATATAATAATTTGGTTTCTTAAAAAGAGTTTTTGGTATTTCATTTCGCTTTTAGGGCAGACCAAAAGTCGGCTGTTATATGATAATAAATAGGATAAACTTAGCTAAGGAATACAAGATGTCGTCTGATATGATGGCAGCTGGACTGTCTCGGAGTCTAGATTTCAGAGCTCACAAAACTAAAGGGAATTGAAATTGGAATGGATTCTAAATTCAGTTTTTACAGTAGTTTTTTGTATATCATTACGTTTTTACGGCAGTACAAAAGTTATGTTCTTACAAACTATATGATAATAAATAAGTTAAACTAAAATCTAGCGCATTTGGTCACAACGCATAATTATCACATTATTATAATTATGGCCACTAATACAAATTTTCGTGCTTATGAGCACAAATTCAATGGTTCCGCCAGTTTCGGTGGCATATGAGTAGTCTCCATAGACTATCTTTGGCGTACTTATGTGCGCAACGTCAACGGTTCCGCCTGTTCCGGCGACATATAAGTAGTCTCCATGGACTTGGTCAAGTTTCGTTTCTGCATTCTGTAGCGATAATATATCTCCGGGGTCCACACTACCACGACCAGAAACAGCACCACACTCTGTGCATACAAGCAGACGACATACGAATTGGAATAATCGCGCACCCAGCCAAGCAGCTGGCCAACTATTATTACAATTATACCCTTCGATATCATGCTAAGACCCAGACCACCGGCTAGCTTCTCGGAACGACAATACGCCGATATTGTTAGATTATTGTTAATCACGGTGGCCGATTTGGTCATGCCTATTTGCACGGACATGGCAATAATCGTCGGCAAACTGGTCGTTTCAGCCAGCAGAAGGCGAGCAATCAACAAACCCGCTGTGCCCAATAAGAACACTACACGATAGGGTATTCTCAGTCGATCGGTAATGCAGGGCAGCAGCAGGCGGAAGACAATGTCAGCACCAGCCACAACCGACATGCATGTGGCGACCACTTTGCTGTCGAAGCCAGCCGTGTGCTTTAGGAAGTTAGGGAAGACCATCGTGAAGTTAATTGTGGCCGTATAGACCAATGCCATGCCCACAATAATGCTCAAGAATACGGCGTCCTTAAGTAGCTCCAAGTCCATGGCCTGCGCCAAGCGATGGCCCATTCTGTTGCACAACGACATGTCCTCTGTAGAGTTTGCTGTGCCATTACTCTGGGCAGGCTGTACAACGATTGCCTGCAAGGCGCAGGATTGATTCTTGTCCTCCTTATCCACCGTCAACTTCAGATGCTTGCGATTGTTGTGCTTGGCAGGTGGATTGAGCGGTCTGAGAAACATGGCACCGAACAGCTAAATATGCAAAATATTATTAGTTAAAGATAATAAGAGGTGGTATATATTTTAACTTACCCCGGTTAACGATAGAGCGGCCATGGCGAGCACAGCACCACGAAAGCCATAATTATCCAGGAAATAACGCACCATATGAGGAATGAAGACTTGACCCACGCCAGCGCCTGCCAATGAGACGCCAACGGCGCGTCCGCGCTTGCTACTGAAGTAGGAATTGATGGCCATAAAAGTGGATGGTGAAATCAAGCCCAATCCAAAGCCGACAAACAAGCTGTAGCCAACAATAAAATGCCAGCTCTGCGTGGCAAACGAGCAAAGAGTCAAGCCAAGGGACACCAACAGGCAGCCGGTGGCAGCGACATTGCGTGGCTTGAAACTCTTGATGGCCGGCCCAATAAACAAGCCCGAGAAGTTCAAAGCCAGACTGTTCAAATTTGTAATAAGTGCGGCGGTGAATGTGTCCTCATGCATGCGCAGTTGGCTCTCAAAAAGCAGTCCAAACACCGACAATATGGACTGATTGGTCATCTGTAAGAAGCCAAGAGTTAGTGGACAAGCTCAACTACGCAGTTAAAATGAACTTACATTAATAACAGCCACAGCGGCGACCACAACCCAGCCCCAGCCGCCGTCGGGCACAGTGCGTCCAGCTTGCATGTCCATTGCGTAAAATCTGTTAATGCAGAGCAATGTCTAGGAATCGAGCAAGATCTGAAGCTGGAACGTTAATTAAGATAAGATTGTTAGTAACGCATTAAGACAATTGGTTAATTATATTTAATGAGCTTATCAGTCGTATACCTTGCTATCACATCTGAAAATCATGCGGCTACAAATAAAACTCTCTAACAACAATGTCTTCGCGAAGGGCTAATCAAAAAAAAAAAAAAACTCAAAAAATGAAAAAACACTCAAAGAACGTCTGCGACAAAGAGTGTATTATGAACTTACGCCCAAGTATGTGCCTAATCAAATACAAAGAGCGTATGCATGTTGTGCTCATTGCGTATTCTGTTTGCAGCACATTTAAAAACGTTTACAGCATTAAGCGCCACAATCAGCCGATAATCACTTAAATTGTTTAAATTAATAAAGTGAAGTCGCGACGCCAAGGCGAAAGTGCTGCCAACCTGTTTAAAATAGTGTGGCCGCATTTGCTGCAAGTTGGCAGCTCGCATTTGCCCATAGACAGCTGTTTGTTTGCTGCCCGCTGTCGCATTTTAATCTTTTTTAATTATCAAAACGTAAACAGCATATTAATATGTGTTTTTTGTGCACACAGTGCACAGATAATGCTATTGGGAATATCCAGTTTGGCTCACGTGAAGCCGAGCTGCTCGATGTTAAGGAAATCATAGAAAAGCACTTCTGGCTGCGGGTAGCAATTGCTAAAAAATCGAATCTATACATTTTTCTTATATTCAAATTACATTTGTAGATTGAAGACGCCAATGGACACGTTTGCGGTGCATGCTGGACACAACTATATGCATTCCATAATTTCTATTCAGATGTAGAACTGGCGCACAAGGCCCTACTAGAAGTCGCAAACGTAGAAGCAACAGCCAAACAAACCGAAGCGAACGTGCCCCAGGAAGGCGCAACGTTTGCTGTGGCTTTGGCCGTAGCCAAGGATGTGGTCAAGACGGAGAGTGGTTTGGGCGACAGTGTCGCGGCGTCTGTAAAACGTAGGCGTGGTCGTCCACGCAAGCAGTTTCCCGGCGAGACAGCAACAGGTATCGATAGCAGCGAGTTTAAGGCCGTGCTGGAGCAGATCAATCTGAACGAGATTAAAATTGAGTTTCCCGAGGCCGACTTGAGCATAGCCGATGTGCTTGAGGATCAGGAGGACCAGAATATATCCGATTATCTGCAGCAAAGCGACAACGAAAGCGAAACGGCCGCAGCTATTGCCAAGCCGAAACAGAGGAGACCTCGCAATGCCAAAAAGCGTCGCTGCGCAACCAAGTTAAAAGTCGTCCACAAGGTGAAAGGTGGCGGCGTACATAACGTTAAGAAATCCCAGGAATTCAATGAATACATTAGGGAAAACTATAAAGTACAGTGCCCGGTGTGCAATGCACCGCTGGAGGACTTCTCCGAGATGCTATCCCATACACGCAAGGAGCACAATCAGCGCGGCTATGCCATGTGCTGCAATCGGAAGTTCTGGAAGCGCGGCGTGCTCGTTGACCATCTGCAACGCCATCAGAATCCGGATCTATTCAAATGCCAGATATGCCATCGCGTAATGGGCCAGCGTCGCAGCCTGGAGCTGCATATGCGCATGCACGAGATCAAGCAGCGTGGCCGACTTTACCAGTGCGAGCACTGCTCGAAGAGCTTCTACAGCTCCATCGTCTGCGAGCGCCACAAGCTGACCCACATTCCCAAGGAGCAATGGCATGCGGCGTGCACCAACTGCAGCAAAACGTAAGTATTTATATCTCCTATATATGCTATATGAATTAAATTTGAGTGCTTGCAGCTTCCCCAACGAGTACCTTATGCAGCAGCACGTTAAACTGGTGCACTTGAGGAAATTCGACAAGATTTGCGACGTGTGCGGCAAGTCGATACGTGGCCGCGAGGCCCTGGCACGTCACATGGAGGAGCATGCGGGTGCGCCGCAAAAGATAATCAAGTGTCATCTATGCGATTCAACGCTGACAACCAAATATGGGCTGGCGCGTCACATTAAAATGATGCACACAGCCGAGAATTTGCAGCCCATGCAGTGCGAAGTGTGTCTCAAAATCTCGCCCAGCCTACAAGCGCATCAGCACCACATCAAGTATACACACAACACGGCACGTACGCACGAGTGTCCAATGTGCGAGAAGGCCTTCAAGCGGCCCAATGAATTGCGTGTAAGTTGAGTTGGTTTAGCTATGAATAGGGTGGTATTAAAAAACCTCTTCTTATTGTTTTGAATGCCAGGAACACATGACAACGCACACGGGCGAGGTGCTGTACACCTGTCCGCATTGCCCGAAAACATTCAATTCGAATGCCAACATGCATGCACACCGCAAGAAGATGCACTACAAGGAATGGCAGGAGTACCATCATCAGCATCATGGGCGTTACCGCCGAACGGATACGATAATTGCAGTGAGCGTGCGCAAGACAACCGCAAATGCAGAAGCTGCTGCCTCAAGAGCTATAGAACAGACGGACTTGGAAGTGCAGGAGATGGAGGAGGCGGTGTCTGCCAGCCGTGGCTTGGAATGTTGATTATGTGCCCTATGACATAATTATGAACTTAATAATTCGGCGTAATCAGTGTATAAAGATGGGTAAACAATTTGTAGCTTGTTGTTTTTTCAATTGAAAAGTGTTAAATGGAAAAGCGAAGAGTTGGAAACTGGTTTCAGCCGGTTCCAAGGCAGGCATTCCAGCACATCCCGAACTGGTATAGCGCAACAGAGTCGGCCGTTATCAGCGGCATTAAGGTCGAATCTGGTTACGTTGCGTACTTACATATAGATTAGAGTATGGTTCAGTGTGATGAGCGACAGAGTGGACTTATAATTCAAGACGAACGGGCCTGTCTGTACGGCAAACCGGTTTGAGTCGGTTCTAAAGTGGATTTAAAGCCTTATCAGCGGATTCGCATTATCAGTTCAAAGGTATCAAACGCCGTGTGTTTGTTTTTTGTTCTAATTGCACTCAGCTTCATTAATCTGTGC